CCTATTCTTGCAAAATTCGGACATATTTGGGGTCCGTAGAACCTCCCAATCCTCAGGCTCTTCCGCCCCGCATAGAGCCCAAATCCTGCCCAAAATAATGCTTGATGTCATGCCCAAAACAATGCCCAAATGTACTGAAAACATGGACTGCAAAGCAGCGCGATTATGTGTGTAAAAACAATTCAATGAAATGCAGAGTTCAAGGGTGTACTGCAGATATTCCTTCAACTCTTCTTTGCAGGCTTTTGCATTTGCTGCAGCCAAGAGTCATGCAGCAAAAAGTCATAGAGCCCAAATAGTGCCCAAATAATGCCAAAAGTAGTGCCCCAAATAATATCCAAATTCGGGCATTATTTCGAGCTATTTGAAAGTGCCTAGACCCCACCTGCAACTTTTTAAGGACTGGTCACCTGGCAAAACCGTTGACGAGTTCTGGGAGCTCTTTTCAGCCATTCACAACACGGAACACAAAGAACAAATGAGAGTTCCTCGAGGGTATATATACATTGTGCCTTATTGGGGAAAAAGTTTTACAGGTATTTTTATTCGCCACGACTATGGGAGGGTAGAACTCAAGGCATTGCAAAAATTAATGCAACAAGACGTCCAAACATCATTGCTTTGCTTTACTCAGTCTCTGAAAGCAGCACCAGCTGGGGGGCCAAGAACCACAGATAAGTGCGGACTTTTCGGAGATTCGAGTCGGGCCCAACCCTCACTCCACGCCGTGGGAATAGTATTAGGTTGCTTTTTGTCCTTGCTATTAAAAATATAGATCGGAGTCGCTCGTTTGAAAAAGAATCAGATTGCACATCTTTTGGAAAGCTTTTGGAATATCATAATGCTGATATCATGAACAGCACAAATATAACGATGCCGAATGAAGCACATTCAGTGCAAGAAAAAACAAGAAAATAGCATATTCAAGCAATTGCTATTTTTCACAACAAAAACTAAGGGGCTGTATTCAGTATTCCAAGCTTTGCCGAAACTAATCCTGAACGAGTATGGAAAAAAAAGTCACGAATGGATGGAAAACATTTTTTGAGAACATCATGGATAAAAAATATTGTTGTGGTGTTGAAAAATCAAATTGTTGTTTTTGTTATACTGACCGCAAACAGCCGGAAACAGCAGATGAACTAAAGAATTTTGATTGTCGCGCAATCATTTTTTTTTGTGTTTTGTGTGTCGATTCCAATGTGCAGCGCCCATTAAAAAGACATTCCTGCAAATACGTTTTTATGGGACAATAATTCTATCCTCCCACCGCGGCTTTGCAGGAATCCGTCCCCACATTGCAGTATGCTTTGGGTTCTGTGTCTAAGCTAAAAATGAAAAGCACCTGCTGCATCCCTGCTGTTTTTTTTGCAGTACGTTGCAAGGGCTTTGGGAAGGGCAAAAGTTTTTCATCGGATTTGCAAAGCAGTTTCGGGGAGGGCATGCGCGGCTATAAAAGCAAAAATGCTGCGCGAATTTTGCGGACGACACTCGTTTATCGGTCCGCCGATGTATTCACAAGCTCTTGTGCCCTTTGACACCGATGTACTCCCATATTGCAGATATTCCAGAGACTCGTCCTTGCAAGCTTTCACAACAAAAACTAATAGGCTGTATTCAAAGCTTTGCCGAAAATAATACTGAACAAGTATGGAAAAGAAAGTCACGAATGGATGGAAAACATTATATGGGAACATCATGGGTGATAATTTTATAAACGAAAAACTTGGAAAAATAAGGGAGAAAACAAAGGTTGAAGTGGCAATATTTGACTAAGTGCGATTTTACAATTAATATTTCAACAGACAAAACATACATGTGTGCTGCAGCAAGAAAACTTGCGGTATTTTTTAATTGAAAATAAAATCAAAAAATCTGTGACGGATTTTCAAATTGTTGTTTTTGCTAATACTGACCCCACACAGCCGGAAACAGCAGTTGAACGAAGGAATTTCGATTATCGCGCAATCATTTTTTTTTCTGTGTTGTGTTTCCATTCCATTGTGGAGTGCCCACTAAAAAGACATTCCTGCAAATGCGTTTTTATGGACAATAATTCTATCCTCCCACCGCGGCTTTGCAGGAATCCGTCCCCACGGTAAAAGTCAAAAGACAAAGGTCCTGCTGCATTCCTGTTGGTTTTTTTGCAGTACGTTGCAAGGGCCTTGAGAAGGGCAAAAATTTTTCATCGGATTTGCAAAGCAGTTTCGGAGAGGACATGCGCGGCAATAAATGCTAAAATACTGCGCGAATTTTATGAACGAGACTCGTTTATCGGTCGCCGGAGCTGAATGCGGCCAACGATATATTAACAAGCTCTTGTGCCTTCTGACACCAGTGTACTCCCATAGTGCAGATATTCCAGAAACTCGTCCTTGCAAGCTTTAGCATCCACAGCAAAAATCCTTCTGCTATTCTTGCAAAATTCGGACATATTTGGGGAGCACAAGACCGCCCAATCCTCAGACTCTTCCGTTCAGTATAGAGCCCAAATACCCCCCAAAATAAAGCCCGAAATAATGCCCAAATATGCCGGAAACATGGTCAAAATCACTGCAAAGCAGCGCGATTGCGTGTGTAAATACCATTCAAATAAAATGCAGAAATCAAGAGTGTACTGCAAATATTTCCTCAATTCTTCTTTACAGTCTTTAGCATCTGCTACAGCAAAATGTCATAAAGCCCAAATAGTGCCCTAATAATGCCCGAAGTAGTGCCCAAAATAATATTTAAAAATGCCTGGTATAATTTCAAAAATTTCTTCAATTCAAACAAATATATTTTTTTTTCGTGGAAAATAATTTGCGCACTTATAAAGGGTTGATTTCGGCACCAATTCGGGCATTTTTTCGGGCATTCTTTGAAGTGTCTAAATCCTACCCGCAACTTTTTTGAGACTGAGCATTACCTCCAAAGCTTTCCAAGCGCGTAAACAGGACCTTCCAACCTAGCAAAACCATTGACGACTTCTAGGAGCCATATTCAAGACTTCAAAACACAGAATAAAGAGATTAAATGAGAATTCCTCCAGAGTATACATTGTGCCATTCCCGAATATCTCTTTTTATTAATTCTATCCGTCTTCTCCATTCAAATTTGAGGATTAGATTTTACCGGTATTTCAAGGCATTGCTAAAATTAATACAACAAGACGTCCTAACCCTCGCTCCACGCCGTGGAATAGTAGTAAGTTGTTTTTATCTTTGCTATTAAAAATATATATCGGAGTAGCATCATTTAAGATAAATTCATATTATAAATAAAAATTTCTATTATATAATCTAAAATAATCCATCATACCGATATATAATTAACTAAAACTAACGAAACAACAAATCCTATTAATAAGCCAAAAATTTAAAAAAAAATAAGATTTACTAAATTAGAAATCATATATATCCAAGAAAGCTCTAAAAATACAATAAACTTTTCAAGATTTCAAATTAAAAAAATTCATTTCTAAAATTATTAAATTATATAATTATTTTCGAAAAGAAATAAAATCAGAGATTTATAATTATATATATTCATACTTTAGAAAATTACGTATATCTCGAAAAAAATATATAAATAATCAAAAAAATCGCCTTTCAATTTTTTCAAATTTCATCATCGAGAAAATTGCATTAATTCTTTTTGGCCAAATATCAATAGAATATATATAGAAAAAACAATAATTGTTTGTTTTATTCATTCCTTCAGATATTTTTTTTTAAATTTTAAAATTCTTCTTATATATATTTCATAAAAATATTCATTTAATGAAATTTTTTCCTATTCTATATATATTTTAATTTCCATTTCATCGATTAAATTGATGAAATCAAAATATCGAAATGAATATAGTGCAATCCTTTATATTTGTTATTTTTTTCTAAATAGCCATACCGGATATATCTCTCATAATCCTATATCGGCACTCAGTCACGGCGTGGGCCTGCGCCACCGCCCCTTGGCGATGATTTAAGAGGGTGAAAGCAGCTCTTGAGGAAGCCGATAGCCTCACGATGCTCGGCGTCGTCGACCTTCAATGGCTCCTTTCATCGTGTACAAGAGCTTGAAAAGGTTGACCTGAGCAAACAGACAGCAAAGGGTCGAGGCCGTCCGTTTGGATCTTGACTAGAATCCCAGAAACTGTAGCCTGGAACTGAAAGCTCCTCCACTATGCCACCGAATTTCCCTGGCCATGGCACAGAGGTCGAGAAGGCACTTGGTCATCTGTGTCAACACGCAACCCGTTTTTCGATCCGCATGTTCTATTACAGTTCACCCCAAGACTGTAGAAACCTCGTAGGGCCGATGGACACCCTTTTTCTGGCTCACACAATCCTCCGTTTCTACGAATGCACCCGAGAAAGGTCACCTCAGAAGCCTCCGATTCGGGTGCTGACGGGGGCAACCCGGGCTGCAAATCGTCATCCTCGTGTTGCAAAACCTAGCGTTTATGAGCGTGTCGTAGCACGATCCCTAGAATGCAAGGAGGAGGGGGAATCGAGGTGAAAGTAGGAGATAACTTCACTTGCAGCTGGTATCTGTTCACAGTACGCAACTGCGCCAAGCTCGCTTAAAAGCCAACCGGGTAAGTCTGACGGCCGTTCTGAAGCCGTCCCAGAGCTGGCTACCCCGAGGGCTCCAGCTACCTAAATCATGGGATACTGACCACTCCACAGTAGAGAAAATTTTTGTTATATGACAATTATATATTCTGTAGTATCTTATACTATACGATTTTATATATTCTGTAGTCTACTGTATGATGGTCAATAACTCTGTAGTATATTGTGCTATATGATAGTTATTCATCATGCCTGGAGCCCTGGGACACGAAAGGGCTTTCCTGAAACGAGGAATGGGCTCTCAAGCAAACCGGATATATGGGATGATGACGATTGTAATACTAGGAATCCAGGGCAACCCTTCTCCGTAGAACGTAACTATCGGGCTTTCATACAAAGCGTCCAACGCTGCTTTGCAGACTGTTGGCACTAAAACCGTACATGTCAATAGCCGAAAAATGACTTGACGTTGTTCAAGCTGACCGTTCCGTTGTCGGGATCCTCGTGAGGCATCTGATGTGCCCTGAAACTCTCCGACGGTGTACCGGGGGTCTGATTTGCCGGCGCGAAGTTGAGGAGGACGGGCCAAAAGAACTGCCTGCTGACCATGTGGAAAGTAGGTGTGCAGAACTCCTTGGTGAAAGGCTCACCAAGAGGCAACCCGATCTCCGTCGTCTTGTCTAGTGCATGTGCTCGGACCTTCCACGTCGATGCGTAGACAATGTATTCAGTCTCCAAGCCTGGATACGACATGGATGTCCTTGTCTCGACATAGCATGACTTCGCGATGGGCACCACCATCTTCTCCTCCAATAGATGCGCCGAAATGCCCAGCTCTTGCAACAGGTTCTTCGTAGCCTCCTCCTCCGTTTCATTCTTCTGCATGCGCCGGTATGGGAGCTTCCCTAACTTCTGATCCCGTGCCCTCAACCATGCGTCTGAATTGAGCTCCACCAATGCATGCACGTTGTCGTCGATGACGGCCAGCAAGCGAAGCCTCACTAACCTCACCCGCCGAAGCATCCCGCCCCGGACGTTCATGACCAGAAGATCACTTTGGCATGTGTTCAGCTCTTCCACCAAATCCTCCATACCCTTCGAGCTCTCTCCCCCGCACGCAGCGAGGCCATTCCGGTTGCAGGCAGCAAACAGCTGCTGGACGCCTGCCATCGTGTACGGCTCCTCATCTCGATCCGTCCAAGCCGACGGCGTGATCGCTTGGCTTTCTTCTCTAGGCAACACGTCGGCTTCCGTCACGCCGGTGCTTCTGCTGCCCTGGATCATTGCCCAAAAAGCCTTCTTGTGCTTCAGGGCAGCAGCCAGCTGTACTGGCGATATGCCATCTTGATCCCGTACCTGGGCAGCATCTCCGCCGAGGGCCCGGATCAAATGCTCTGCGCAAGCTGCGGCGTTCACCTTGGCGCAGTGGTGAAGCACACCCTCGCCGAAGAGCAGCGGCATCTCCGGAGACATGCCGTGCTGCTCCAGGCAGTGGAGCACTGCCTTGGGACAATCGTGGTCGATTGCAGCGTAGATCACAAGTATGTCAAAGAGCTCGGGCATCGCTTCGCTCATCAAGGACTCGAACTTGGACACGTCGATGGAGATGAGCTCGCAAAAGGAAAGGCAGGTCACCGTCTTGAAGCTTCGGCTGGCCCCCAAGAAGAGCCGAAACTCTCCGATGAAGGCCCCTCCTTGCAGCCTTGCATCGGGACTTGCTGCGTCAGCCGCCTCGATTTCCTTCTGGATCTCATCGCTCTCCTGCACAATCTAGGCTCGGATTCAGAATCGTCAGGGACACATCTGCTTGGTATACCTACAACTATTTACATCAGCGTCCTCGGTATCATCGCCAGATGTTGCTGCCCATGCCTGCCCTTCCACTCGATTGCGGGTTTGCACAGAGCCGCTTCGGATGTAAAAACAGCTCTTCACCATGGCACCTTCGGCGATGAGCTCTTGCTGAGGAGGATGAAACTGCATGTCACAAAGGTCACAGACATTTGCCAGGACTTCGGTGGGAAGCAGCTTTAACCAGCGGTGCTGGACCAAGCAAGTTCCTGTCAAAGCCAAGTTCACTTTTGTCCGAAGGACTTCCGACTTCTTCAGCCAACCCATCAGCATGGACTTGGTCTCTTCCCGCTCCCGATTCTGGAAGACTTGCAGTAAATAATCGTGAACCCGTGACTGCAGCTCCCTGGGCACTCTGTAGACCTTCAAGAACTTCGAGACCTTTGCCAGCTGTTCCATGTTTGCTGCCGTTCTTTCGCTGAGCTTGGACACGATCGTCGAGACTCCATTCACTGCGACACCTACAACCAAGCTGGTGGTGGCCATGACAACACACAGCAGCGCCCTCTCGTTGGACAGGCTCATGCTGATGTCACCCAGCCCTACGGTGGACATCACCGTGATTGCAAAGTACATGGCCGTGGTGTAGCGTTCTCCTAGTCGAAGTCGGACTCAAGAACGTCTTCAGGCAAGCTTAACGACCTGCAGCCTCTATGCCCCAAAACCTTGAAACCCTGCCACGACCTGCAAATGCATAGGGGCAAACGTATGATCTTGGTTTTCCGGCCACTCGTATACTAAGTCACTTACCTGTTCTCGTGTGCTTTCTTCTCCTGAAAGACTTCTGGCACTCTTTCCATTGTTGAAGTTCGGGACCTGTTCTGAGGGTCTGTATAACAAGGATTTTCGGGGTAGTCCAAGCGAGGCAACGGGAGTGCAAGACAGCGAAGCAGGGGTCGGATTCCTGATTTCTGTTGGGGCTGCTGCAGAACCGAGCAGGCATGGAATCGGCTTTTGCACGCTTGTTCAGATCAACCCCACACCCTAAACCGTGTCAGGCAGAATGATGGGCCTTTGGGCCAGCGTATCGGATAAAACGACCCTGAGCCCTAAGCCTGCTCGGACCTTGGGTGCCCTGAAGCAAAAGCTGCTTGGACATCTGCAAGCAGGCACACTTGTGGGGACCCAATGACGAGCCCTGCGATTCTCCCGGGCGGTCTTCGCCCTTCGAAAAACCAAACGCACTAAGCCCGTGTATGTTGCTTGAACCTCCAATCCCAATGCCCTCAAATAGCATCATCAGTACAATCTGCCTAAACATCCGAGAACCCAAACCCTTAAACGCCGAGCCCAAAACCCCTAATCCTTGAATGCTGCAGGCCCAAAGCTATTAGCCCTCTAAGCCCGATAAAACCGAAAAGCCCCAAACCCGCCAAATCCGACACCCTCCGCCCTACACACCAAAGCCCGCTCCTAATGGTATGGCTTGCAGAGCGCCGGGCTCCTCGGATGTGGGGTGTAGGGCTTTGGGCTTAGGATTTAGGGTTCAGGGTCACTTCGGGTTTGATAGGGTTTAGGGTTCAGCGTGTCGCGTTCGAGGGAAGAGGCCGATTGAGGGTTTGGAGTGGGTTGGGGCACAGGAATACCTAAGGTCGGAGTTAGGGGGTTGGGGTTTAGGGGTTTAGAGGCATGGGATTTACCTCCACGGCATAACGGTTTCGATCTCAAAAGCTTCGTTCGGTTTGATAAACGGGGAATGGACGCATTTACCCACCCACGTCTATAATGGAATCTTAAAATATGGGTGGTTTCGGTTTTCGCGGGTTTGGTTTGGATCATGAACTGTTACCCTTCTGTTACTGCTGAACCCATGAAGGTCCGGTTTTCAATGGGGTCAGCGCCCCTCATTCAGTGAACATCTGCGGTTGAAATAATGCTTGGGCCGGAATAACTAGAACGGGGTTTTGGGGGTGTATTGTACAATACTCAACACAAGCGAGCCTAAGCATATTCAATAGGGTGTTGGACAACACCTGGAGGATCCCCTATGGGCTGCGGACTGCTTGTCTGCAAAGCCAACAGCGTCTGGAAAGGATTTGGCGGTCTAGGGAAAGCCCAATCCCCGAACCCTTAACCCCAAACCCTTTAAGCCCTTAAAGCCGAACCCTGAACCCTAAACTAAACCTTCAACACCTAAGCCCAAACCCTACACTAAACCCTAAACCCTAGAAGCCCTTAAACCCCAACAGCCTCACAAAAATAAACACAACCCCCATGAGCCCGAAGTCCTGGCTCCACAAAGATGCTAAAACCCCTTTAGGGGTCAGGGTTTAGGGTTTAGGGTTTAACTCTTCA